GTTGCTGCCGACCCGTTCGCCACCCACGAGGGTGTAGAGCGCCTCCTCCATCAGGCGGTCGTGCTCGCGCGCGGCGTCTTGGGTCACCGACGGCGGCATAGTGCGAAGGAAGAAGGTGAGCGTGGTGTTGCTGCAGAAGCGGAGGAGCACCTGGGCGAGCTGCTGCGCGGTGTGGATCGTTTTGGTGTCGCGCAGCGCCATGATGCCCGAGAGCGGCTCCAGCGCCTTGCGGACGCGCTTGACGAGTTTGTCACGGCACCACGCCTTGTCCCCGAGGTACGCCCCGAGCACGCGAATACCGCGAAGGACGCCGTCTGCGGAGTCCGGCGTGCCCTTGACATCCGTGCGGTCGCGCACCGCGTCGAGCGAGCGCGGGTCGGGGGCCCACATGCACCGCTTGGACTTGTTGCTCTCGACGCCACTCCAGAGTTGAGCAAGGTCGTCGCCCTCGAGCATCGTCTCGAGAGCCGCCCTCGGCGCGTCCGCGACGTAGGTATCGTCAAGGTAATTAGGGCGGACGGGTTGCGCACCTGCATCTCGAGCAGGGTCCAATGATAGCCGACGGCAAAGAGGAAGGGCCCGAGAGGATCGCCCTGCGCGCAGCCCTCGGTCGACATGAAGGTGTCGCCCGAGCTGCACCGCGCCTCCGCGTTGAAGAGAAAGAGGCGGCGCTGCTCGCTATACCAAGCGCGACGGTCGGTAGAAGAATTCGAGCTCTCATACAGTCATCCTCGTACACACACGTCACGACCCCGCGATGCCGTTGGAGGACGCGCCCGACCGGTCGGCGCGGCTCCGGCTGGCGCTGCACATCGGCCGCCAGCTCGCCAAGGACGCTCCCGCCGAGGCGCCTCGCGCCATCACTGCTGACGTTGTCGCCCGCTGCGCCGCGCCACCTGTGCTTGCGGTGGGCGTGATCTCCGCGCCACGCAACCACGAGCGGCGGCAGCGGATGCGCGACATGCGCGACCTGCTGCTCGCTGAGTCGCCGTGCGCTGCCACGATGACCTTCGTCCTCGGCCACCGCTCGATGCTCAACGCCGAGGAGAGGCTTATCGTCGCGGCCGAGTCGGCACAGCACGGCGACCTGGCGCTGCTGGACGCGCACGACGGCTCGAAGCCGGGCGTGTCGCACGGCGGCCGCGCCGTCGCCGAGAAGGCGCTAGCGCTTGGCTGAACCCACTCCTTAGATGGAGAGAGGAGGGGCGACGCACAGTCTGACAAGCGACACACGCCACACACACACACACACACACACACACACACACACACACACACACACACACACACAGTCACACACACGCACACAGACAGCCTCGGCTGACACACAGCCGCTCGCGTGGCTGCTCTCCTCCGGCTGTGGACGGCGTCTCTTCACACGGCCAGCTAGCTGTGAACAGGCGCTCGCGTGGCTGCTCTCCTCCGGCTGTGGACGGCGTCTCTTCACACGGCCAGCCAGCTGTGAACAGGCGCTCGCGTGGCTGCTCTCCTCCGGCTGTGGACGGCGTCTCTTCACACGGCCAGCCAGCTGTGAACAGGCGCTCGCGTGGCTGCTCTCCTCCGGCTGTGGACGGCGTCTCTTCACACGGCCAGCCAGCTGTGAACAGGCGCTCGCGTGGCTGCTCTCCTCCGGCTGTGGACGGCGTCTCTTCACACGGCCAGCCAGCTGTGAACAGGCGCTCGCGTGGCTGCTCTCCTCCGGCTGTGGACGGCGTCTCTTCACACGGCCAGCCAGCTGTGAACAGGCGCTCGCGTGGCTGCTCTCCTCCGGCTGTGGACGGCGTCTCTTCACACGGCCAGCCAGCTGTGAACAGGCGCTCGCGTGGCTGATCCACTCCGTCGCAGCGAGCCGCGCTGCCTTCGTCTGCAAGCTCGACGACGCCACCATGCCCGAGAGTACCCGAGAGTACCCGAGACCGCCCGAGAGCACGCTGACTAGGCTCGACGACGACACCATGCCGCACCTGCCGAACCTGGCTCGCAGCAGCGCGCTGCAAGCGCGGCGTGCCCGGCCAGACTCTCTTCACAGCGGCGCACCGTGAACAGGTCGCCGACCTGCGCGCGCTGCAGAGCGAGGTGCCAAACCCGTCCTTTGCGTACTACGGCGTGCACGTGTACCGCATGTGGGACTGGGCCTCCGCCGAGGCGGCTGCTACCAGTACCCTCTACACCACCCCTAACTCTACCCCTTCCCAAAGATCCCTTCCCCTCCCCTCCCCTCCCCTCCCCTC